TTATAAAATATTGATGGTCAAAAATGTTAAAAACACAAAATGAAGTAGCAGATTAGTGTTAGAGAGAAACTGCCAGTGATATTTTTATATGTTAAATAATAACAATACTTTTGTTTAGCCAGGAACTTCCATTGAGAAAAAGCATGAAGTCCAAATAGCAGAAGAGGAAGATGGAAACAATTAATAGTTTAATAAAAGTTTCTCTACTTGCAGAACTAAAAATAATCAATTTACGTCCAGACATTTGGTTTGACACGGTTTCCAGTAGAGATCATCTTCTGTTTTATATTCTAATACGCTATTTAAAAGTACTTTAACTCATACATCTGTTAATATTTAATTCCTAACAGGAAGTTGTGTTGTTTAGAAGTCATCTGATTGGCTGACATAGGCTACTCTGCCCCCTAGTGGACTGGCATGATTAAAACAACTATCACAGGCAGATTTGTGTGAGTTCATGTGGATGAAAACTTTTCTGGAAATAATCCTGTGGTAGGTTGTTTTAAATAATGAAGCAGAGATATTCACTTTTATTAAGACCCTACATGTGTTACTCTTGTAGTCGCCCTGTACAATTTAGGAATAAAATCTGTATTTCCCAATGAAGATGAAGTTGTTGTATCACAAAGAAAAGCCTCCAGTGAGACACAAACTACACGCATTAATCTCACAGTGTTCAGTCTTCAACAGCTCCTGGAAATCCTGCTTCGTCTTCTTTTTCATGATGGACTCGCTGGCACTGATGTCTGAAAGAGAAACGCTGTTAGCAGCGGCAGCTGGTGATTCTGGATGTGCAGTAATCCTCTGGAGGTGCAGCGTGGGAAGTTAGCGCTCACGTAGGCTCAGCAGCCGATGCTCCTGCTTCAAACCTTTCAGCTCCTCGGACACAAACGTCTTCATCTGCTGGATGTCCATCCCCCGTCTCTTCTGCAGGAGGCCAAGACACGAGGAGGATTAAAACCATTCACTCTGACTCTGTCGGTCACCACGGTTACCGTCTCAACATTCACTCACATCATACGCAGTTTGGAGGTTCCTGGCCTTCTGACTGAGAAACCCAAAAACGTTGGAGAAATGCTCGTTCCGGATTTCATTAAACACCTGAGAGAAGTGAACAAACGTTGACCTTCAGTCCCAGATGAGAGCAGACGGACACCTTTGACCTCAGCCCTACCTTATCCTGAGAGTTCAGCATGACTTTTAGACTTTTGTCAGAGGAGGTGACTTCAGGCCCGAACTCCACACATCCTGCAAAACAAGATGCAGAGCTGAGCCGGCAAAGAAACCTGCAGAAAGCGCTAGACTGTTGGACAATAAACAGGAATTTTTAGCTACTCGCACATAAATATGGCTGCAAACGGTCGCAAAATTATGCAACCGTACAACTTTGAAAAGCAGAAGTGCAGCCTCCTGCACAACCAACAAGAATGCCGAATGTGGTTTCTGGATGTTAAGTCAACAACAAAACACTCATACAGTAAAACCAGCTGACCAAATGTGCTAGAGCTCTGCTTGGGTTGCTAGGTAACAGACTGGACTTTGCTGGGGTTGCTAGGCAGTGACACAGTGCCTGTGGGATGTGACTTAAAAATTGGAAAGTTTTTGGAACGGCTCATTTTCCAGACACCAAGGAGACAAAAAAAACGGCTGGGTTGTTTTGTTGAAGCGCTCCGACTCTTTCAGAAACTGTGGAGGTCAAATTGGAAGTGTAAAAACATGAAAAATGTGAATTTGGCATAATTCGTTCAACTAACACGTTTCTGTTGCAGTTCGATAACTGAAGAAACTTATAGATTTTTTTAAAAATGTGAGGACAAACTTTAGAATGAGGGATTGTTTAGGGAATGTAATCTAAAGACATTGCTGTGTAATTTTAAGTGTTTGGGTCTGTGGTCATTTTTAAAATGATCATTTTGTCATGTTTTGTTGACTGAAGTCAGATACCCACCACATTTGATCCTAAATATATCATCCACCAGCCCCTCGTAGACAACTTGTGAGCATAAAGGAGTGATGAAGTCCACATCTGTTAAAAACAAAGTGACATTAGAGCGGAAACAGAGCACAGCCTGAATCCAGTTTGATGATCTGCAGCTTCTCACCTCGATCAATGAGGAAAACATTCCCGATCTCAGCATGCCGAGCTTTTTGTTCTCCCTGCTCTACCTGCTCCCTCCACGACTCGTAGGTCATCTGCAGACAGAGAGGCAGCAGATGTCTTAACGGAGATTAAGCCACCGGATCTGAAAGTTAAACTTTTGATCTTTGATCATTCTGGACCTTGGAACAGCGTCCAATCCCGTAGACCTTGGAGAACGGTCCGAAGAGGGAGTGAAGGAGGTGCAGAGCGCTCGCAGCTGTCCTCACCCAGCGCTGGTCTCCTGCCTGTGCAAATGAAAGGTTGTTAGCTAAACTTGTTGTCTGTATGGAGTTATATAACCTCAAAAAGATGACGTGTTTATACATGCTCGTATCCAGGACTGGTTCAACATTAAGTTGTTCATTTCTGACTAAATCTGAGGTCTATACGTCTTTAAACATTTTATGTTTTTCTTTATTTTTAAAGCACTCAAGTCTTAAACAGCTGGAACTATTTAAGAATCAGGAAAATGGTCAAAATAGATTAAACAAAAACAATCCATAAATAAATATCATCTGACTAAAAAAATTAATTAAGGAATTCTACAGTTGGTAATTGAACTGAACTGAGCAAATGCAGGGTGGACAGATGGACAAGCAAAACCTAAAGAATAAGATAAAGTCTGGAGAAGCAGCTCTTTTGAAATTCCAAACTTTTCCAGGCTACATACAAACCTGCATACAGTGTCAATACAAACTTAGTAGTAATTATGAGGGATAATCATTAAAAGAATAGGTTAACTGTCTCAGCTTCTCTGTTAGGCTCCAAATTTACCAGAAAGTTGTCTCTGAAGAACTCTGGAAGCTCCAGGCTGATGATGTCCTCGTCCAGAGGAAGGAGGTAGAAAGCCCACTCATCAATGGTCACATCTGCAGGACGACACACACAACTTCAGCATTCAGGTGACGGTCAGCACCTTTCACTGCTGACCATCAACACGCCGAAGCAACAACTGACCACCAAAGACTCCCTGCTCCTCCAGAACTGCCTCACATACGTAGAACTGAGCAGGAAGGAGAAAGGCAGTGAGTAAATATCAACATTCACACAACTTAAACAGCATGTGGAGTACATTTGATCAAATTAAGTCAGGACTGCATTATTTTGAAAAGCAGTGTAACAATTTTCTCTTTAAAAACTTTAAACAAACTGGACTGAATTGAGACCGATTCAAAAAGGATTGCAGATTTAAACTGGAACAATTTTACTCTCATGTTCCCATAACTTATGAAATAATGAAAACATGTTTGACATCAGCAGCATGGTGGAACAAACCTTTTGTGGAGTGAAGATTATCTTGTATCGTCGAAATTTTCCTGCTGCCTTGTCTGCATTAACTACATCTGAAAGGAAGGAGCATAAGTTGTAAAACACTGTGTGTTATTTAGCGATTATAATCTAGATCACTACGAGCAAGATGAACTAAACTTTTAAACCAAAGTTATAAACAAACATGCATATTTAGCTGAAGTTACAGATGCATTACATGCAGGACACTTTGCCCCACCGGTGAGGCAAAAACAATAAACATTACTTACCACAAATCCACTTCACGGTTTGTATTCGTGGTCGAATCAGAAAGCAAATCCTGTATAAATAAGACAAAAATCAGATAACTTGTCCAAATACAAAAAACAAAAAACCCAGAGATCCACCGGTAACAAGGAGCAGAACGTACTGATCTGAGATGCTGACTATCGGCTTGTGCTCCACTTTGTAAAGTTTGTCGACTTCATGTTGCTGCAACAATGTAACATGTTAAATATTTTGAAAGAATCTGAGATAAAAGCTGTTTTTAATTAGATTAAAAAACAGAGCAAATACGGTTTACCTTTAATGTTGAAACATTTGCAATTCGATCAAGTGGACTCATCAAGTCCGACTCAATGAAAAGGTCTTTCTTCCCCGGCAACTGTGAGAGAACAGGAGGTTAGTATGTCAGTATGAATGAATAAATCAGAAAAGCACTGAGCCTCTGAGGATTACTCTTAAAAACCAGCTGTGTACCAGTAAATACACCAATTTACATGAAATCTAACTATTCTATCGTTAACAATGGTCACATTTTAAGCCAGGAGGTTCCCAGAAGTTTGAGGATGACTACAAAAATAAAGGGCCACAAGGAGCTTTGACTGTGTTTGTACTTGAGCCCCAGTCTGTATAGTTTTTAATCTGTATTTATTGCGGAAAATCAAAAATACATCCTAACTTGTGCTGGGAAAAGAATAGATGACACACCTATGCATCAGGTGGCATCCAGCTGGGCCTAACTCTTACTTAGGTGTAGTGTTGTGTCCATCGTGTTCCCACCTGTTCCAGCAGGTAGATGAGCTGATCTCTGGCCAGTCTCTTCAGCAGAGACAAGTCTGGGAGCTCCGGGGAGTCTCTCCTGGCACTGTGAGCCATTCTGGGCTAAAACAACAATAACGGAGCTAAAACAGAGAACATATATGTAAAAAAATATATAATAAAATTTTTATGCATTACCTTTTAGGTTTTCCAGTGTAGAAATATAAAAAGTATATACACAGATGCTGCTGATAGAAAGAAATCAGTGCTGACGTGAAGCTCCTACAAGGTTAGCTTATTGGCTAAAAACAGACCTGTCAGCTTGAGTTACAAAGATAACCAGAAACGTAAAAACATTAATACGGAAAATAAGCAATTTCTTAATGAATAATCTATAAGGCAAAAGAAAAAAGTTGTATTTTTTATTTTTTTATAGCCGAAAAGTGAATCTATCTGAGTGGAGAAGCCATCGACTTCCCTTAGCTGACAGGGCGGAAATGATCATGTGAGCTGGTGTTTCCGTCCGGACCCAGTACAGGGCGGACCTACGCTAACTCAACCAACTCCTTTATTTACATTTAGCTATGAATTCAGAAGCGGCTTTATTGTTAGAAACCGTTAATTTTGCTGCGGAAAAACATCGTAAACAACGCCGTAAAGATCCAGAAGAAACGCCGTACATTAATCATCCAATCGGTTGGTAGGGATTATATTACAAGGGGAATTTAACTTTATTTTGTGAAAATTCACATTATACAGCCGAAAAAGACCAATATGAAAAAATATATATATTTAGTTTCATATTACTTGATAGCAAATTCCCGTCCTTTCAATGGTAATGCCGAGTTCGTCAACAAAATCCCAAGACGGGAAAACATAAGCAATGATCGTAAAAACTGTTGCAGCCGATCCATAAAGGATCTAATTCCGTGCTGTTCAAACCGGAAGAGAATTAGAACCACTGAAAAAAATGGAATTCTGATTTAAATCGTAGAATGTTGGCTTTAATCTTAATATTCTGACATTGTTTTCTCAAAATTCTAACTTTAATCTCATAATTCCGACTTTTATGACAGATATGTGAGTAAAAATTCTTACATTAAAAAACTGAATTCTTTTTGACCCTAACTCTCTTCTGTTGTTTAAAGTTATTTTACAGAGAGAGAAATTATTTGCTAAATAAAAACACTAGAAAGAGGAACTGATGTTTTAGGAACTTTAAAAAGTTGCACAAAATTAAATGTCTGCAAACTTCAATGAATATGGGATGTGGAATCATAAATGCATAATTTATATCTGTACATCTGCATCAGCATTCCTCTTTTATGCAAGATCAGTACTTGATAATTGCAGTGATGATGCCACCTGTTAGAGTTTTGTGTTTACTATATTTCCCCTTAAGCTGAAACCTCTAACATGTCTGATGCGGTTCTGTGTTTCAGGTGTAGCAAGAATCCTCAGCTATGAGGGAGGAGTCACAGATATCGAGGTTTTACAAGTACGTCCTCATCCGTCATCTCTCTGATACATTCGGCCCTTCTTGTCATGCTAAGCCCTTTGCCTCTGACCTGCAGGCTGCTTTGCTTCACGACACCGTAGAGGACACAGACACCACCCCAGAGGAGCTGGAGGACAGATTCGGACCAATTGTAGCTCGAATTGTCCAGGAGGTGACAGATGACAAAAGTCTGCCGAAGCAGGAGAGGAAGCGCCTGCAGGTGGAGCATGCACCTCACTGCAGCCAACAAGCTAAACTGGTGAAACTAGCTGACAAGCTGTACAACCTGAGGGACCTGAACGCCTGCACGCCTGTCGGTCAGCACCTCTCTGCACCGAAAACAAAACATCTTTATCTGTGGAAGCTGTTGTTGTTCTTTTTAAAAGTGAATATTGCAGATTTAGTGCACAAACACTTCAAGATTACTGACTATGTGCAATTCTGCTCTGCTGCTCAGCTCTCCAGCATTATTAAAATACCCTCATTATTCCAATCTGACATCTAGAAATGTTTATTTTTCTACTTAGCAATGCTCTCACAAAGGTCTGCAAACCTGGAAGAGACATTTCTCCAAAAGACGAAAGATGCTCCTACAAATTCACACCGCACTTTTCAGCTTTATTCCTAAAAACATGGCAATGACACAAATTCTTACAAATTATTTTTGCTTTACTTCCTAGTGTAAATACCTTCCTTCGTGCGCTGGAAATAAGAAAAACTAACTTACAAGTAGCTTTTCAGCAAGATATGACAATAATTTCCTAAAATCAATGAAAAGGTCAATAATTCTGTGAAATTGATGAAAAAGAAAAAAGCTATTTCCACTGGGCGATTATTTCACTTGCAACAAAACAGTTTCCCATGTTACAAGCTAAATAATCTGCCAGTGAAACTAATTCTTTTTAATCAATTTCAGAAAATGATTGACTTAAAACAGATGTTGCTGAAAAGTAACTTTAAAGATATTTTAGTCCTTTTTTCAAATGTACTAAAATATTTGCGCTAGAAATTAGGTAAAAATACTTTGCAGGATTTTGTGTTTTTGCAGTGAACAAGGCATTGTTTCACAACTATTGACAATTACCTGATGTCCATGTGAAATACATTTAAGTTTTAGTTACAAAACAAATTGTAAAGAATGTTCAAGAGATGTGAATACTTTCACCAGACAATTGATAATGGATCAATCCTAAACCATCATCCTGGTAAAGACCAAAGGCTCTGCTTCAGTGGCACCACCATATGTTCACTTCAAGTGCAGTTTCAGTGTCCAGAAAACATTTTTTTAACTTTAAAGTTAAAACACAAAACATCCACATTCATGTCCATGAAAGCTTCTATATTCAGTTTTCACATGTTAACCCTCTTCTTGTTTCTCCGGCAGGTTGGTCGGCTGAGCGGGTCCAGGAGTACTTTGTATGGGCCGCTGAGGTGGTTAAAGGTCTGAAAGGAACTAACTCGGCTCTGGAGGAGAAGCTGGAGGATCAGTTCAAACAGAGAGGAGTTCAGCTCTGAAAGAACCGCCTCACTGCGCTGGAGAACGGATCGTTTACATCACTAATCAGATGCAATATCATTTACAAGCCATAAAAATAATCCTTTTTCCATATTTTGTGCCATGTGCTATGTCTGCTGTGTACTTTAGGACATCATGTAACTGTGATTTTATTTCTGAATATTAAGAAAGCAACATTTTCCTGGCTCTTTTCTTTCATCAAACTTCCCCACCATTTATTGTGAGACCTTATGCATCAGCCACTAAAAAATAAACATTCATTTTGGGCACAAAGGGAAGTGAAATATATCCTTGGGGCAAAAATATTAAAGAATTGCCAATAAAATTACTCCAGTTTTACGTCTACAAACAAATACTGTATACAAATACTGTATATTTAAAAATAAATGTTTAAATTAAGTCATTTTAGAGTTACCCAAAAGAAATTTGACACAAATGTCTTTGATAATCTTTGTCAGCATTTAAGATGGCTAGTGTACACCTCCAAGAAAGAGGAAGAATTTTTATTTAACAGTTTGTTGGTTTTCAAGTAGAACCTTGTGGATCCTGAGCTCAGGAGCCTTAAAGAGATAATTTATGTGTTTATTTATTTCCTTTTATTCAAGTAGGAGCAAAATTATATTTAGTGAATTCAACTTTACAATCTTATGTAAATGTGAAAAATAAACGACCTCCATTTACAGGATTCAAAGTGAGTTGAAATTGTAATTCCATTTATGCTGTTTGCTGTTACACGGAAGAATATAGGAGGAAAATATGCTTAGCAGCAAAAATAATGTTTAATTGGTATGTATGACTGATAAAAGGGAATATTACTAGTAACAGAAGTAGTAATATTGCCATTTATTATCATTATCAACTGTATATTCTAATCAATATTACTATTTAACCAGGAAAATAATTTTTTTTTAATTTTCTTTTGCGTTGTTTTCAACAACCACTGGGGGCGCAAATCTACACTAAATCTACAACCTTCTCTCATTGAATATTTTATCTCAAGATTTTCCTCTAAAATACATTGAATATTTTTTTAAAAATTCACATTCCGCGCCACTAGGATAAAATAAATAATTATAAAATATTAATGTAAAGCTACGTGTGCTTCAACAGCGGCGGAAACGTTTGTCGGAACAATTCCACTTCCTGTCCGTTCACGCGTTCTGTTGAACTTCCGTTTTGCAGCAGCAACGAGCTAGAGTAGCTAGTTGGAATATCGTTTTCATTTTTCTTCTGTCGGCTCGTTTATCGTTGACCAGGCAATCATGTCTAGTCACGAAGCCGCCAACATGAAGCTTCCGCCGATCCAGTCCACGGCCGGTGCCGTTCCCATCCGGAACGAGAAAGGTGAGCTTTTGTTGGTTAGCCATTCAGCTACATTAGCATCAGCTAATGTCACTGTTGGCACACAATACACGAAATGAACAAATTACAGTGTTAGAGCTAGTTTGATAAAGACGTAATGTTAGATAAGTTGTTATGAAGAGCAAAATTTTATGTCTTAAATTTGAGCATCCTGATTTTAGGCTGTAGAAAGTGTTAATATGTCCAGATGCCGCACGGTGCCGATGGCTGCAAACAGGCTGGTCAATTATTTTGTGGTCAGGATGGATGTTAAACTCACGTCTGATGTTATTTCTGAGTGTCAAGCTTAGAATTTGCACATTTAAATATTTATTTTATGTTTTTATTTTGATTTTTAAGGTGTTACGTCGGTTGTTTATTTTTTGCTCTTTAGGTATCTGTTTATACATGTGGTAAGATGATGTCAAACACCTTATTAATCTATCAGGTGTCCAGACAGCCCCAAAAATCACATGAAAAACACCAAAAATTCTTTAACATTTCCACTAGGAGTTTCCTCATGGTTCTGTTAAGTAGATTAAAAATGTTTGACTAAAGTCTGTTGTTAATTCCTGTTATGAAGTTTACTGTTTTCTGTGTAAGATATGTGTCTGTCTAGTAATGTTTCAGGTCTAAAAACACAGACACAAACTGACTAACTTATATTATAACTTTATTAATTAAGAGTCATGTTAGAACTTAAACTGGATTTGCTTTATTTTAATCATGTTTTGTGTAATTTTATATTTGTTTTCAATTGAGATCTTGTCTTTTTTATGCTCTAACATCAAGGTTTGGTTTTATATGCTGTTTTTATTTGCATAAGTCATTAGACAATGCAATTGACATCACAAAATAAATGTTAGTAAACCTTCACAGCTGTTGAGGGAAAAGTGTAAGATTTGAGTTTTGTTGATTTTAAAGTTGTACAAACTGATGCGTTTCTGCACCAATAATTTAAAGCCCCAAATAATTGTTGATCTTAAATTCTTGAGATTTTTCACTGTGGTGCAAAGGAAGGCAGAAAGAAATCAAGGGAATCAGTAGTCGTGGTTAAAGATCTGACTGTATTCAGATTAATTTAATGTCAGCCATCTTGTTGATGTGCGCCACACAGGTGAGCTCACCATGGAGAAGGTGAAGGTGAAGCGCTATGTGTCCGGTAAGCGTCCTGACTACGCCCCCATGGAGTCTTCAGACGAGGAAGACGAGGAGTTCAAGTTTGTGAAGAAGGGGGTGGAGGCGGAGCCGGAGGTGGAGCCACTGGAGGAGGACGTCTCCGACCCGCGTCTCCGGCGTCTGCTCAACCGGACCTCCGAGGATGTGGAGGAGAGGTACCGCCCCGGCACTCAGCTGTAACTCAAACTACCGGTGAATTCTGCAGAGCGAAGACGTTTCTCACTCGTTGGTTCTCAGGTTAGCGAGGCACAGGCAGATCGTTGAGCCTGAAGTCGTGGCCGAGAGCAGCGAGGACTCAGATGAGGGAACGTGGCATCCTGAGCGCGAAGACAGCAGCGAGGAGGAAGAGGAGGAGGAAGAAGTGGATGATGAGGTTAGCATTACACAAACACCTCTGGGTTTTTTGTCCTTTTCATCACGTTGGTCAAATTCTCACTGTCTGATCATCGTTCTGCAGGAAATTGAGCGGCGACGAGCGATGATGCGCCAGCGAGTGATGGAGCGGAAGAACGAGGAAATGGAGGTGATGGAGGTGGAGGAGGAGGTGAAGTCGGGGGAGGAGTCCGAGTCGGAGTCAGAATACGAGGAATACACGGACAGCGAGGACGAGGCGGAGCCGCGACTCAAACCGGTCTTTATTCGCAAGTAAGAACTCTGAAAACTGCAAAAACAAAATCTTCCCAAGCATGTTGGTCCTGGTTCTAGTGCAGATGTCTCAGAAATATAAAATAAATAAAAACTTACTTACAAGTACCTTTTCAGGAAGATGTAGGAGCTTTATCTAATAATTCCTTAATTTTGATGAAAACGTTCTGGTCCCGCTGGTAGATTGTTTCACTTATAACAAAACATTTTCCCATGTTCTAAGTGAAATAATCTGTCAGCGAACTTTTTTATCAATATTAATTATTTACTTAAATCAAGCTCATATATATTTCTGAAAAGTTACTTGTAAGTTAGTTTTGTTATATTTGAAGTGTAGAAAGTTATGTGCACAAAAATTAAAATTTTGTTTCTGCAGTGTAAAGATGTTTCTGGAATTAAATGCATCAGTAATTTATCAGTATTTTTGTTTCTAATACAAATGTTTGATATTCTGTTGTCAAAAAAACACAACTTTGTAATTGCGATGTTTCCGTTAAATAAGAAAGTCAATTAGAATCACATGTGAATAAGTTTGTTGACAAGATAAGTCATTAGAAAACATGCAGCATCATCCTCATCCAACCACTTCCTGGTGTTTCAGTCAGGAGTAACATTCGGTTGTTGATCATGTGACTCATGATGACAAAAAGTGTTTCCATGCTAATTTCAACACAGACACAAAGAACCTCATCCTAATGCAAAAAACTTTATCGAAAAATGTGAGATTTTTATAAAAGTGATGTGTTTCACTTGTGTTACTTAAACAGAAGTAAAATTACTCAAATTGTTTGAAATTATTCTGAACATTTGGTTGAATATCAGGAAGTGATGAGTCCATAACTTGTCAATCTCTGACTGGTGGACAGGAAGGACAGAATCACGGTGGCGGAGCGCGAAGCCGAGGAGCTGAAGCAGAGGGAGCTGGAGGCCGAGGCCAAGCGGCAGGCGGAGGAGCGCCGCCGCTACACCCTCAAGATTGTCGAGGAGGAGGCCAAGAAGGAGTTCGAGGAGAACCGGCGCACGCTGGCTGCTCTGGAAGCGCTGGACACGGACGGAGAGAACGAGGAGGAAGAGTACGAGGCCTGGAAGGTCCGAGAGCTGAAGCGCATCAAGAGGGACAGAGAGGCACGAGAAACGTGAGTAAACGGATCCGATGGAGTCGGTGAGACGCAGAGCAGGGTCGTGATTGGGTCTGTCTTCAGGATGGAGAAGGAGAAGGCCGACATCGAACGATTCCACAACCTGACGGAGGAGGAGCGGCGGGCGGAGCTTCGGAACAGTGGCAAGGTCGTCACCAACAAGGCCCAGAAGGGCAAATACAAGTTCCTGCAGAAGTACTACCACAGAGGAGCGTTCTTCATGGTGAGCAGGACCACATCCTCATGAGTTAGCTGTTTATTAATATTAGCAATTTGTTATTGGGTAGTTTATCAATACTTTCTGCTACAACCGGCCCTTTAAAGACATTCCTGACCTTGATGTGAACCAAAATGAAAATGAATTTTTATACTCCTGTTCTAGACTTAAACATCCCAAGACATTTTTTTGTTCTGTTGTTTTTAACTATAACATATTTTAAAGCGACATAAACCTTAGAAATTTGAGTTTTCTTGTTTTAACGTGATATAAAAGTTGTTAAAATAAGATCTCTCTTCTGAAACTTTTCTTAAAGAAGCAGTATCATGTCAAATCAGTTTCCATTATGTTATTCCCTCATCAAATACACACCTGAAGCTTTGCTTAGACTTTGTTATGCATGTTTAAGAACTCCTTTAATCTCCATGGCAACCATTCAGCTGTGCAAAACGCCTGGTTGGACCTAGCCCCGCCTTCGAGGTGCAGCTCCTCCTCGAAGCTGCAGTTTCCAAGCTTCTGAGGTTCCGGCACACAAAGCAACCCGTTCAGCTCCTTCAGACTAGCCAGCAGATATTAGCAAACACCTGGTGGAGCTGCACATCAGCTGATCTCATTATAGGAGCTTCTCAGAGTAACGCTGGCAGAAACGTTGTTAAAG